CTCAATTAGCGGATATCTTTATCAAGCCTCTTAGTGAAGATGATTTTTGTCGCATAAGAAATGGTTTGGGCTTATACACTATGTGAAAGTTCTACTTGCTTGCTTGATTAGTTGCATTTCACATGCATTATTTTGTTTATTTTTTTTACCCCATTTTGATGGTGACAAAGGGGAAGAGAAATCTCCTCATTTGTGCACATAGTAAGGAGAAGCTCATAGATAGGGAGAGCTACTATCTATAAGCTATATTTATTTTGCTCCTATATAATGGTTGGTTATCATCATCAAAAAGGGGGAGATTGTTAGCCCTTATGTTTTGATGATATTTTACAACCACCATTATCGGTACTAATTGCTTGTTGAGTGATATTGTAGTTAATATATATATCAAGCTTGTTAGTACCATGCATGGAGGATTGGATGGAATATGAGCTACAACGATGATATCCAAATGAGGAGGAGGCATGGTGATGAAGCAATGTTAATTCAAGAACAACAAATGCAATGAGAAGCTTCATCAACTCAAGCTATATCAAGACTCAATGAATTATAATTCTATGTGAGGATATTAGCTAGTTTTTTTTTTCTCTCTAGTGCTAGAATGTAGGCAAGTAGCTTAGATTTTATTTGAAGCTATTGGGATATCACACACACGCTTTCATACTTAGATTTTTGAACGTTTTGACAAAATATCATTTTTCATAAGTATGAGGCCCTTTTCGTAAAATTCCTTTTCCAAACAATTTGTTTTTAATGTTAAAAACAAATTTGTTTTTAATGTTAAAAACATTTTTACAAAGTTTCATAATTTTTGGAAGTCATTCAAATATTTTACAGATTTTTTATAGAGTCAAAAACAGAAGTTTCATAATTTTTGGAAGTCATTCAAATATTTTACAGATTTTTTATAGAGTCAAAAACAGGTTTCATAACTGGTGTCAGTTTGCGGTCGACCGTCACAGTCGACCGCGCCTGTGTCTTTTCCTAAGTGGACAGCAGAAACTTTCACGGTCGACCGCCACAGTCGACCGTCAGCTCGCCAGAGGCACAGTGAGGCCCCGTGCACGACTTCGGTCGACCGCCAAAGACGCGAGATTTGTATGGTCGACCGCCGCTTACTCAAACGGTCTTTTTGGTACAGATTTCAGCGCCGATTTTTTCTAGGTTTTAGGGGATTTGGGTATGGGTTTAAACTGATCTGTTTTCTCCTATTTAAACTCTCATACCCCTCCTCTTATGTGCTCTTGTCCATTTTGAAATATCCTGCAAACCTATTTACTGTTTTCAAAAGAGCCCCAAACTTTCAAAACTGTTCTCTGTTTTTCAAGTTCACATCCCAGCTTTAGTGTAATCTTTCTCCTTGTGATAGGAACATTATAAAGTGAGAGTTTTTACACCATTACTACTGTTGTGAGCTTGATTTTTTGGAGATCAACTGTGTGGGAGTTAAATCTTGTGGTGATCAACTGTGTAGTTGTGAGATCTTGTGGAGATCGTTGTGTAGAAGAAGTTCCGGCTTCCAAACCGGGTTTTGTAGTGGATTCTCCTCGAGAGTAGGGAGCGGGGACGTAGGTCAGCGGGCCGAACCTCGTTAACACATCGCGCGTCACTTGGATAACGATTTCTAACTCTATCTCATTTGCTATAATTGTTTATTTTATGGTTTGTTGCTTGTCTTATTTTTTATTGCACTATTATAGCATCCCCCCCCCCCCCCCTCTAGGGTCCAACAATGGGGTCGCCAGAGGATCTTTTTCCTAGATATGTTATTTCTTCTTCTTCTTTCTTCTTTTTTTTACTTATTCTTGTGTATTCCTTGGTATACATCCGAATAACCTAAATTACCAAATTGATATATTTTGTTGATATTTAGTACCAACTTGGTGTATTTTTTTTAGTCCGGTGATAATAAGATATATAAAGCGGGACACTGTGACGATAAGACCTATTTTCTAACCAAAGCAAAATTTTTGGTGAGATCACCTCACGTGACTCATCACATGCATTTTACGTGGCCTAATTGGGCTTATGTAGCAAAGTTTAAGTGGGATTTTTAACTAGCGCTATGAAAAAATTCCCCAAAATTTTCCACCTTCTCTCTTTTCTTTCTATTCTATGTTTATGTGAGGAAGAGAACGATTCTTCCCATAATTGCAGAGATTCCCTTACCCAATTCACTTGCCCTAGTCCAATTTTAACCTCAGGAGGAAGAACACCAAATTTGATCCCGCTCCTTTTGAGCCCTTATTTGAAAAGGAAAAAAAACTCCCCTTTTTAGCTCAAATAAATGAGACCATTCCCAACTACCTGACACATAAGAGGTCACATCAACATCATGTGACGAGCCACATGACGTTTAGTCGCAAAAAAAAATTACTCTGACTAGAAAATAACTCTTGTTGTCACAGTATCCTACTTTATATATCTTATCGTCACCAGAGTAAAAAAAATATACTGAATTGATACTTAAGGTCAACAAAATATATCAATTTAGTAATTTAACTCATGTGAATATTCTAAGAAATATGAGCTTTTATGACAACTTCAGGTGAAGTAAACAGTTAGCTTTTTCATCCTTCTCAAGGCAATGACTTAGGGTCAGTTTGGTATTGTTGGAGATTATAATAAATAAGCAGCTTATAGAAACAACTTATATAAGCTTCTATAAATAGGTGTTTGGTAATTAAATATCAAAAATTACTTAAAAAGCAGCTACAATGCTTTGTAGAACTGTGCTTAATGATTATTGATAAAAGATAAAAGATATGTATGTTATATAACTAAAAAAATCAGAAGCTACCTTTAAAAATATCCTCAATTTGCTTCTAAAATCATCCCTTAAAAGAAGGAGTTTCATAAGCATGCCAAAAAAGTTTTCACCAAATATCATTATTGGTTGCTTCTTGAAAAAATAAACAAAAACACCCTAAAAAAAGAAATACCAAACTGGCCCTTACACTGTCAAACGATGGATACGAAAAGATCAATTACATTTTCTGCAAATATATATATATATATATATATATATATATATATATAGTGCCTTTCTCCTACGGATCAGTTCGCACGGATTGAGGGGAAATGAGTGGTTTTTGGGTTTTTTCGCAAAATGCTTCCGCTACTCTCTCTCTCATAATAACTCCGCTACTTGATCTGTCAATTAAATGCTCTCTCTCTCTCTCAAAGGAAAGCTACATCCCCTAAAAGTCAAAATCCCCAATTCCACACCGTTGCTTCTCCCCCAAAATCACCCGACGACGAAGCCCTAATCTCCCTCCTAACGTCGAAGAAAGGCGTCGGACCCCCAAGTCGGACCCCCAAAATCCTTCTCGAGCTCGACGTCGGACCCCCAAATCGGACCAACACCGCCTCGCCTCCCTCCCAACGTCGGACCACCAACGTCGGACCCCCAAATCAGAGCTCGATCTCGACCTCCCCCAACTCAGGTAACCACGACGCCCCCAACTTATTAATTGTACTTCAGAAGTCATCTTTTTCTAGTTTTATCAATTAATATTATCTGTTCTGTTCGTGATTACTGAAACGTTTTGCAGTGTATATAACCACATATGCCTTTGGTTTTTTTATATGAACAGTTAGTTCTATAGCTGTTTAGTTAAAGACTTTGTTGCAGCTGAAACGTTACGATGGGACCTCAAAAGATGAACCTTTGATGGTGTTGATAGCGGGTGACTGTGCTCCTCATTAAAAACAGTAACAATGTATTAATTGATAATATTAAAAAAAACCAAAGGCATATGTGGTTATATACACTGCAAAACGTTTCAGTAATCACGAACAGAACAGATAATATTAATTGATAAAACTAGAAAAAGATGACTTCTGAAGTACAATTAATAAGTTGGGGGCGTCGTGGTTACCTGAGTTGGGGGAGGTCGAGATCGAGCTCTGATTTGGGGGTCCGACGTTGGTGGTCCGACGTTGGGAGGGAGGCGAGGCGGTGTTGGTCCGATTTGGGGGTCCGACGTCGAGCTCGAGAAGGATTTTGGGGGTCCGACTTGGGGGTCCGACGCCTTTCTCCGACGTTGGAAGGGAGATTAGGGCTTCGTCGTCGGGTGATTTTGGGGGAGAAGCAACGGTGTGGAATTGGGGATTTTGACTTTTAGGGGATGTAGCTTTCCTTTGAGAGAGAGAGAGAGCATTTAATTGACAGATCAAGTAGCGGAGTTATTATGAGAGAGAGAGTAGCGGAAGCATTTTGCGAAAAAACCCAAAAACACATGATATTGATAAAAACCAACGAAAGAAGTACTCATTCCTCTTACATATCTTGAATGTCAATTTTCTATGGCAAATCCAATAAAAAGAATCATACAGATTCGAACTGGTCATGTAAAAAAAGAGAGATAACTATCCATACCTCATTCCATCAAGAAATCCAAAGATCCCATCTTCCCCAGAATGAATGCTGCACATCATTTGGAAACTTGCTGTAAAAAAGTTGAGGCAAAATTCCGTGCGTTGGTGATCCGACGTTGGGAGGGAGACGAGGCGGTGTTGGTCCGATTTGGGGGTCCGACGTCGAGCTCGAGAAGGATTTTGGGGGTCCGACTTGGGGGTCCGACGCCTTTCTCCGACGTTGGAAGGGAGATTAGGGCTTCGTCGTCGGGTGATTTTGGGGGAGAAGCAACGGTGTGGAATTGGGGATTTTGACTTTTAGGGGATGTAGCTTTCCTTTGAGAGAGAGAGAGAGCATTTAATTGACAGATCAAGTAGCGGAGTGAACTGATCCGTAGGAGAAAGGCACTGTATATATATATATATATATATATATATATATATATATATTTGCAGAAAATGTAATTGATCTTTTCGTATCCATCGTTTGACAGTGTAAGGGCCAGTTTGGTATTTCTTTTTTTAGGGTGTTTTTGTTTATTTTTTCAAGAAGCAACCAATAATGATATTTGGTGAAAACTTTTTTGGCATGCTTATGAAACTCCTTCTTTTAAGGGATGATTTTAGAAGCAAATTGAGGATATTTTTAAAGGTAGCTTCTGATTTTTTTAGTTATATAACATACATATCTTTTATCTTTTATCAATAATCATTAAGCACAGTTCTACAAAGCATTGTCGTCGGGTGATTTTGGGGGAGAAGCAAAAGTGATCAGGAATCTCTCTGGGTCTGCCGACTTGTTCTGCTAAAGTTACTGAAATTGCTGAAATCACTACTATAATCTTGGCTTCCAAAAGCCATTCTCTGAAATAATCTAATTTCTGCAGATTGCGCAGAAAAAAGCTCACTTTGGCCAGGTCTCATGCCGTTGCTAAGGTCAATATCAGCTAAATCTAGAGCCCTCACCACCTAAATGAAAACAAAGAATGTAGATTAAAATCCCGTAAAAAAAAATGGAGGATTGAGGTGAAAAATGAAAAATTACCAGCCCCATTCGAGGCCTCATTGATGCTGAATGTCGAACACATGCAGCTGCTGTTTCAATCATTCGAAACATTTCTCTCTCATTGTAGTTATTTTCAAGCCTTGGATCGGGTAGCTCGTTGAAATCTCCAGTTTCAAGTGCATGACTCAGTAGTGGTCGAGCCTGAAGAATTAATTAGCAGTTAGCAAATTATTTTAAAAAAATGTAAGACTGTAAGTTATAGCAAGTAAATGAACACTGAAATTTTTTAGAACTTGAGGCACTTCTGCTTTGGGTCAGGAGAGACCCATCTCAAAACTCAGTTAGCAATAAACAAGGTATATACACATAAAATACACCCAAAAAAAGTTGGTTATTGATACTTCGTCTCTTTATACACACATCCTGATACATGAATATGTACAGAAACACACACATGAGCGTGCATGCATGGAAGCACACAAGTATGCACAGATATACTAAAATCAAAATTCTATCTTAACAGAAATTTCAGACTTCAATACCCTTGAAACCCTTTTTTCTTTGGGCTTAAACATTTCGCTCAAAGATATACACAATTAGCTGGTTTTTGGCCATCACTTCTATGCCTGCTTGATGCATGTGGGGAAAAAATTTAAGGTCATCTCATTTTTGGTTTTACGCACTAAACATAATTAAATGGAGTGGATTTTTAATTAAAATGACCTATAATTGTGTCTAGATGGAAGGAATTGCTTTCAAATCCTTCAAGAATAAGGCAAGCCTCCCTCTGAGCACGTGAGTGCTTGAATATTGATGTTTTATTCTGTGCTCTCTGAGATAATCCAAACAAAGAATACAAGTTTGTCTTTCTTTGATTCAAATCTTTTCTATGACTACCTACACTTGATGTGGACTGCTGGAAGTCGAACACCTTTATTGAAAAAGGATCCATTTTTATGGGGAAAAAACATAGCAGACTCCCGGACATATAAGGTCAAAAGTCAAATATGAAGTAATGATGAATATTATGGAATCATAGCATCTAGATTGGAGCAAGTTACATGACTCAATATCATCTTAGCTTTTATCCCCATTGCAGACCAACCAAACCTTGGTTAGATATCTCATCAGCCTTACCCAGTATAAAATGGTTTAATTTGGGTCTGGTCAGGCCAATTGAACTATAAATTCTAAAAAAAAGGTAAAAGATAAAAGCTAATAAAAGATAAAAGCTACACGTAACGTGTATCATACCAAGTCAATGTTATAGGCGTAAACCAGTTCAAAATTAAATGAAACCAAAAGAACCTGTGATATCATTAAGATGTGAGTGTAAACTAGAAAAGATTGAGTATATTGTGTGGAACCCTAAACGAAATCGGTCAAGGTTCAGTTGTGTTGGCTCATTTAGCTTCATGCAATTTACATATAAAATATTACATATTGACAGAAATAACTGTGATACATATACTTAAGTCGGCTTAGGTTCAGGGTGTGTGTTGGCTGGCTTTACTTTGATTGACAGCCTACTCTAACAAAACCCCTTCGACCGCATTGGATTTACCAAATCAAGATGAAAGCATGGAAGGTCAGAAGCCAACCAGGAAAGCTAGTGGAGTTCGTTTCATAGGATGGACTATCCTACTCATATCAATGTTATATTAATACTTCTAACTACGTGTAAGGTCTAACAAGTTTTTTACACTGATATAGGATTTTAAGAATACATCATTACAAACTATATATTGCTGTACAGGTCACCATGTTTGAACTTAGCGTGATTAAATCATAGAGCTTAAACATTAAGAGCGGAAGCTTATACCTGAATCCATGGATTGGACTTGAGTTGGGTTTTGGATCTTCTAATCTTAGGGTTTCTCTCCTTAAGATCTATTTAGATGGGGATAAAAGAATGAGTGGCTAACCCTAGAGTAGGGACCATAACCCCATATATATAGGTATTGTACATTTGTAATTTAGCCCCTCATCAAATTACAATTACAACCTGGTATCTGCACATATAACCGCATGATTTATTTAAATACCAATTAACCCAAATTAATTGATCACTTTAGTGGGTTATCCTGAAGAATAGCAATACACACAGATTAATCATAATTGATCACTTTAGTGGGTTATCCTGAAGAATAGCAATACACACAGATTAATCATATGTGCCCACAAATAGATTTAATTAGATTTAAATCCAACAATCTCCCACTTTGGCACCATATAATTCCTTAAATTGTGTATAACCTTATGAGCTCAAAATTGCTATCACTGAAAATGTATTTCTGAACAATCTCGTCCATTGACTATATCAATATAGGATTAAAGCGGTCTTCGTCACATTTATCGTGACTCAACCCATCAATGGTCACATATACCAATACAATCAAACGACATAGATCAATCATGGATGTGCAGCATGAAAATTACATGCAATGTGATCATTACATGTCTATTTTCAACTGGTCCTACTTTAGTGAGGTCAAAACCAAACATAATATAACAGAGTGTCTTAACTGAATACTTTATTCTGATCAGACAATACAACCAAACACAAAGCATCAAAAATTACAAACTCCAACTAAATCATGATATCCTCTAATATCACCACACCCATATGTGTGGTGTGTTCATGAAAGACCTTGGGTGGCAATCCCTTAGTAAGAGAATCTGCTATCATGGAGTTTGTCCCAATGTGCTCTATGGATATCTGTCCACTCTGTACCATTTCTTTCACAACCAGGAACTTAATGTCAATATGTTTTGACTTAGTTGAGCTCCTGTTATTGAAATACATTACTACAGATTTATTGTCATAATATAACCTTAGTGGCCTTTTCATATTTTCCAAAATACGCAGTCCAGTGATAAACTTTCGCAGCCATATTCCCTGATTTGATGCCTCATATCAAGCTACAAACTCTGCTGCCATCAATGTTGTAAAAAGCGGTGGATAGCGGCGCTACAGCGCCGCTAACATTGTTGTAAAAAGCGGTGGATAGCGGCGTTATAGCGCCGCCATTAGCGGTCGCGGGCCTTTGCCGCCCTGCTTAAGGGGTTTGCGGGTGGGTTAGGCGGAGAAAAACCGCTATTTGCTCGAATCGCGGCTAATTGCGCGCTGTAGCGCTGAAAAGCGGGGAAAAAGCGGTAAATTCCGCTACGGGTTTTAATAAACGTCTCCTCAAACCCGACCCGAACCCAACCCGCATCCATTACAATAAAACCCTCTCACCTTTGCCCTAGCCGCCTCTCTGGTCTCTCCCGACTCCCGACAGCTCTGCCTCTCTCGACGATTTCCAGCGCCGTCAACATCGCCGCCGGCGATGACTTCCAGCGCCGATTCCGCACCAACAACGACGACTCACTTTTCTCTCTCTCACTTCCTCCGGTCAAGTCATCTCTCGTTCACTGTCTCTCCAGTCTCCGGTCAAGCCAACAGCAGCATCGCCGCCGGATGACTTCCAGCGCCGATCCCGCACCAACAACGACGACTCACCTTTCTCTCTCTCACTTCCTCCGGTCAAGTCATCTCTCGTTCACTGTCTCTCCAGTCTCCGGTCAAGCCAACAGCAGCTTCGTCGGCATCGTCTCTGTTGGGAAGCGGAAAAAAATAAATGACTGAGTTTGGGTAGGACGAACATTTCTGAAAGGAGGAACCGGGGCTGAATTTTGGGAAAATGGCAGCGGTGAGGAAGCACTGAGATTATTGTTGAAATATTAACCGTCGGATATACCCATGGATAGAATGGACGATGATGATTGAGCCTGTGTGAAAAGTTTTATGGGGAGATGGGAATGGGGGACGTACATGGAGAGATTGTACTGGACTAGATAATATCTTGTGATGATTAAAATTTAGCAGGAGCAGGACGGGTCTTCTTTTCTGTTTAATTTTTTTCTTTTTAACTTTTTTATTTTCAAAATTTTTGCTGGAGTGAGATGTGCCTAGTTTAAAAAGGAAAATGTGTTTTACCCTTCTGTGAAATCTAAATTCTGTATAAGGTTATGATGAAGATAAACATTCACAATAACTTGAGTATTTTTAGTGGGATGAGCTGATTGTTGCGTTGAGCAATCACGCATAATAAAAACAAATTAGGTTGGGTTGAGTTATTTTCAAAATTCAAACATATAATTGAGTTATTATATATCATATGATATTATCTTGCTTTGCTCATTTAGTCATTTATTTATACTTGGATATTTTACTTTTTAGGTCAAATTTCTAGTAGTTAATAAAATGATGATGTTACTAATCAATGTTTTTTTATTGTTGAGCACTTTTATATTAGAGACTTGAAAGTTGAAAAAATGGAACAAAAAACGGTTTTTTTGATAAACAAGTACGTTTTTTCATTCTTTAATCTTTATAATTATAGTACTTTGTTAATGTTATGTAATTATTACACATCTATTTCATGTTTAGGCATCAAGTATGCATTTGTAGATTTTTTATATGATTTTTCTTATTATTTAGAATATTTAAATATATTTATATTTGACCGCTATTTGACTGTGCGCTATTTGCCGCTATTTCGCCGCAATAGCGCGCAATAGCCTTAGCGGTACCTCGCCGCGACGCGCCGCGATCCGGTACTCAGCAAGCCTTGGCTGCCGCCTGCCATAGTAGAGGAAACTAATGAGTGTCTGTTTAACACTTTTCCATGATATAGCTCCTCCTGCTAACATATAAATATAGCCTGATGTAGACTTCCTGTTATCTTGGCATCTAGCAAAATCAGAATCAGAGTACCCAATGACCTCCAGCTGTTCTGGTTTTCTGTATATGAGCATATAATCTTTTGTTTTCTGAAGATACTAACCCTTTTGACTGCTATCCAATGATCAATACCAGGGTTGCTTAAGTATCTGCCTAACATCCTAATAATGTACGTAATATCCGGACGAATACATACCTGAGCATACATTAGACTTCATACAGCCGAAGCATAAGAAATCTTCTGTATTTCCTGAATTTTAAGGTTGCCTTTAGGGCACTGATTGAGACTAAACTTGTCTCCTTTAGCCACATGAGTGTCTCCTGATCTGCAATCTTGCATGCCAAACCTTTTAACTACTTTATCGATATAGCTCTTTTGTGATAATCTAAGTATACCTCGAGAGCGATCTCGATGTATCTGGATTTCTAATATAAAAGAGGCGTCCCCAAGATCTTTCATCTTAAAATTCTT